CAGGGCACTTGGCCTAGAGCCAGAGAGTGGAAGGGCTGGTGTCACCCTGGCTGAGGGCTCCGACCATATGCTGGGCTCCAGCTGCTGGTTCTGGTTGGACTAGTGTAGGACAGGTCTTCTTACCTTACAAGAGCTTTGCCAGGGGCTGGATCAGACACACTTTCAAGAACCTCTCAACTGCAGAAAACTCTGCGGCTGCTGATTTGGGAGCCTCCCTCTGAAAGCAGCACTGCTATCAGCAGCAGCACAGAAATAAGGGTGCCATGGTGTGGCATTCCACCTTTCCTTCTATGCTGTGTTGGCTACAGAGCTGCCTTCACTGCTGGGTAGCCATCCAGCATCCTCTGCTTTTCAGCTGCTTACCTCTAAAGCCAGTGCAGAAGTATAGGTGGCAGTACTGCAAATCCCCTCCAGCAGCCTTGTGACCCCCCTGCAATTTGCTTTTGGGTGGGGACCCCCAGTTTGAGAAATGCTGTTTTCTCCTGTGGAATCTTTATAGTATAGGATAAAAGTACCCAAAAGTCTATTTTTCATAGTCTGTGATGAATTCTTCATGGCTGTGAATTTGGTTTGTTGCATAGCCAGCTTTGTCTCACTAATGAATTTAGATGATGTTGTTTCTGCACTTTGAAAATGATATGGGAAAAGTTAAAATATTTAAGAAAATAGAAAAAAATCACTTCTGAAATGAAGCAAATTTTCCATAGAGTTTCTTTTTATCAGTCATCTGCAGCAGCAGCATCTGTCCTTTTTCTAAACACCCCTCTGCTTTGGGTGTTCTCCATTTGCCATGGGCGCTCTCTTTGTTTTCCAGGCTTGCAGCCCATCTGCTTGAGCACATCAGTTTTTGTTGTTGTGGTTGTTGTTGATTATGGTTGCCTCAAGGTACAAGGAGGCTAAGTTATTTTGTATATGCACTTCTCTGGAGACATAGATTTAAGCAGAGCTTGTGCCATTTCATCTTGTTCTAGTGATACTTTATTTAAATCAAGCTCAGCTTTATTTATTTCTCAGTTCTTCATTGACTTTTACTTGCAAATACTAACTAGTCCCAGTTAATGTAATCAATGTCAATAAATGTATAGTCCTTATCCAGCAATTTTACCTCTGTCATAAGTTCTTTTTTGAGTGCACTTCTACCTGGCATTCTGTACAAGAATGACTTGCATGCAAACATTGGATTAGCTCTTGAGAGGTGACATTTGTCAAATCTAAGGAAATGTGCCCTTTGCTTTTTTTTTTCAGCTGATTTATTTGTGCATATTGTAAATGCAGTCACCATTCGCTGCATTCTTCCTCCACATCTTGGGATTTCAGAGGATCCTTGAAAAAGAGCTAGCTCCATCCGATGTTTCAATTTCTTCCATGCCTCAGGAAAGTTGATATTTTCCAATTCGTGATGGGCAACTAAATTCTAGCAAACATTATAATTCTAGCCTATTTGTCCTTCCTTAGCCTTTTTCTAACACTATGTAATATTTTGGCATGTAATTATTTCTTGTCGTCTGTACACAACAGATGCACCAAAGGAAAAGATTTTTAGTCATAGATACTAAGCCAGAAGAGACATTACGGGTCATATGCTCAACATCTAAAAAGAAATGAATCACAGCTAACAATATTAATTTCTATTATCTGTACATTCAGGACAGCACCTCGAAAGTTAGTGTTTTGCCATTGGGTTGTATTGGCATTTGATTGCCAGTTCCAGAAAAAAAATAAACAGAATTACAAAAAATATTTGCAGGAGCAGCATTTGGTGACTATTAATAGTGTTACCTAAATGTAAGGGGAAATGTGCTATTTAGCCTTAAATAAAAGTACTTTGGAATGATTTGGGAAATCCTGCTCTTGGAAAGGAAGAGAAGTAGTGTGCCTATATTGCATGAGAATCCCAGAAATAAACCTGCTGAAAGCCAATTTTGTTTAAAGAGAAGGCTGGAGAATATGGAAGAAAGAAGAAAGGCAACTGTATGTCAGACATGTTTGTCAGTGATTTGTATTATTTGCAATGAGGGTGTCACGGACTGTGGGGGGAGCCACTGGGCCCGGCACCCCCATCCGCAGTCAGATGTGACTCTCAGCCAGCAAGTAGAACAGAAGGTGGATTGGTTCACTTGCTGTTACAGGAACCAGGAGCATTCAGTACAATCCATCTTGGGGATAAGGTTAGGGCCTCTGATTGCCTCCCTCCCCAAGCCATCTAGAGGCCCTTCTCCCCTAGCCAGCTGAAAACTAACTCCCACACCCAGTCAGTGATCCCAGCCCTCTAGGCAGGTACACCTCTTCCTTTGTTCAGATTCCCAGGCCGAAGGTGTTATCTGTATCACTGGTTGCATTTTCCCCTAGGATCAGGTGACAGGTGGCCTGGGCCATTCCCTACGTGCCTTCCCTCAGGAGTCCTCACCCAACGATCCTATCCCACACTGGGCACTACACAGAGAGAGAGAAACAGAGACAGAGACCGAGGCAGACACAGAGTGTGAGCAACTGCAGAACAGCACAGGACAGTAGAATCACATGCAATGCAGCAAAGCAACCAGAGTAAACACAAAACCAGAGTGAATGCAGTGCCCACAAGCGTGAATGCAGTCCCCACTATGTCACAGGGGGCATCAGCCTTCTGGATGATTTTATAATCTATAAAGGTTTGTTAACTATGAGTCATTAAACAAACAAAAATGAGACTTTTAAAATTGTATATAAAAATAAATACATAATTATATACAAAAAGTATTCAGTCATTTCATGTGTCACCAGACATCCACATATATTTTCCAAGCAGTTCTATTAGATGGTCATTTTTCCCATTAAGGCAGTAGTAGAGAGCTTACTAAACCAGTCTGTGCAGGAAAGAGAAATTGCAGATTACCATTTTCTCAAAATAATTCTTTTGACTCTGAATCAGTTACTGCCATCCATTTCTCTGGTATTACCGTTTAACACTATTTAGCACCCCAAAGGTCCACAAGCTTAGAGAAGGAAAGATAGCAACACTTAAATGTTTTTGAGAGCGCACTGAATGTGGTAGTCCAGAACACATTTTTTGACAGGGATAGGGAATGTATTGAAATGTGGACATCTCCCACATTTGCTGTGGGTTGCTAATCTAGCCATAAATGTTCTGTAGTACCTCTTTAATGGCTTGTTCTGGAAGAATCGCCAGGATAAAGAACTGGAAGTATTTTGCACATTAAGCCAGATATCCTCTCAAGTTTCTATTGTGATAGCAAGGCTGAGGGGTTTCCCCATTTTTCTCTGAGGCTGAGACTGAGAGGATAATGCAAAGCAGGAAGCACCCTGTAAGTAGTTCTTACAAAGTGGAGTTTCTTTCTATATTTCTTAACATGTTCTTCTTGAGGTGAGAGTTGAAACACACAAATTGTCTCCTATTCTTGCATGAGTCCTTGAGCATGAATGCTGAAAGAAGGAACTTGAAAGACAAACAGTAGCTGTTCTTTGTTACTCATGTAACTGAAGGAGGCCAATTGAATTTTAAATTTTTGCTAATACTTTTTCTATTTAAATAGTCCTAAGCATAAAGGTGGCCTTGATCCTGAGGCACAAATTATCCCTTAGTGCAATGAGAAGAGAATCAGTAAAATTGGACACTGTAATAATTTTACCGTGTTGCAGGATAGCCCATATAGATTCAAAGACTGGATTTATTTTATTTTATTTTATTTTATTTTATTTTATTTTATTTTGCATGGGCATATAAAATAAGAGAGAAAAGTAAATGGCATATCTAAGACTTTTTCAGTTTCAAACAAGGCTGGAAGAGTGGGATTTTAAGCCAGAAGAAAAGGGAAAATTCCATCTTTAGCACAGTCCACAAGTTTACTATAATTGAAAAAGGTTCATAATTTAGCTCCTGAAAAGCAACAACCTAAAGATTTGGCAGTTCCACGTAGTGGACTCCTTAACCAAAAGACCACCTTTGCCACACTTTACTCTGTAGTAACATTAACTACAAAGCTATCTCAGCTCATAAGCCTCAAATTAGATCAACTAGTTTTGTCTTTGCAGCTAAGCACATACATCATCTCTGCTTTTATTTTCCCACTGTCCTTGTAAATTGGCAAAGGTATTTCAATATTTCAATGAAACATTCCAAAATCCTGCTCTTCTCAGACGGAGTCTTTTAATACAGTATATTCTCGCTATCACAATCCTGTTGGGATGCAAGCCTTTTGTTTATTATAGCCAGGGGTTTGTTCTAGTGAAAGGATAATCAATTTGAATGATAAACTGCTGGACTGTTAATGAAGTTGCCTTGGATAAAGATGTTAGCTAAATTAATTAATAATAACTATTGTGACATGCTTCAGGTTTTCCGCATTAATTCATCAAAAACACAATACAATAAACCTCACAAATCCAAATTGAAATGGAACATTCAAAACCAAGCAAGTATGAACAATTTAAAATTGCAGCAACAAATTTTCAGTTTTCTTTCAATTGAAAATAAAATATTCCCAACATTGATTCACATCTCAGTTCTAAAAAATGTACTCAATTTTGCTTTGCCACACCAGTTACATGGAAGCATACAAGACAACATCAGCATTTAACAGTTGTAGGATTTTTATTGCCTCAACACCTTATGTTCCATCAAAGCAATAGCAGTCTCTATCCTATTTACTGCCTCAGATGCAAGTAGGGATAGGAGTATGCTTCATCTGCCTCATCAGTTCCATTTCCCAGACATCTAACATCCCCAAACTTTGTGTCCTCATCTGTCAGCATGGTGCTCACTAGACACTCCTCATCCTCATGAAGCCGAAGTTATTCATTACAGCTTCAGTATCCCATCCAGCAAATAAAGCATCCAGACATCTGACAGAAATCGCTCACTGTTCTCATATACAGTTGGAGGACTTCTGTATCTTGAATGACATTTGACAGGGAGGGTCCTAATGTCTTGTTCCACATGTTTTTTACTTCTCTGAATGACAACTAGACCATGCATCAGCTGCAAAATATGTCATATCTTTCAGGGTGAAGGATGTCAGAAAAGTCACAGCCTCTATTCCTTTTCTGCTGAGGGAAATCCCAGTCACATTTTCTGTACTGATTCTTAATTGCTGCAATCATCCCTCTATCCATCAGCTGGATTTTTGACATTGTGTTTTTTGGTAAGTAGACAACTTTAATTTTTCCATCAGATGCCACTAACTGGTCTGGGGTCGATGGAGAGAAAGGGTTTGCTCTGGCCATCTTGATGCACTCAGCCTCAGTATTGATGTTTCTTAACACTAGGGATAAAGGCCTCAAAACAACTCTGTTTAAAAATTTCCCCGGTCATCCAGGTTTTTCTGACATTCTTGTAATTCACTGGAAAAGACTTCATATTAATGTGAAAAAAAGTATTGTCATTGTTATGACTTTCCAGTGCAAGGTGCAGTAATTTTTGTGATTTCCTTTGGCACTTTATATCCCTTCACTGTATCCACCATCTGAGACAATGTCCCGTAAGGCACACATTTCCAAAATAGCCCTGTTTCTTTGACATTGTATATCAGCTACAGCGTATAACTTCCTTCTAACAAAAGTTGCTTTATCTTTGGAAGAAAGCTGTCTACAGGCACATGAAAGGGACTCTCCACTAATTTTAAGTTCCCAAATGTCATGCCTTTTTTGAAAACTCCACAGCCATCCATCTAATGTTTTGATGCTGTTTCAGGATTACCACTACTTCTGCACTGCTGGAACCACAATAAGACCGCTTCATGTAGTGCATCATCATCAGTTTTTCTTAATTTCTTTTGTAATAGTCTTTTGTCAATGTCAGCTTTATGGACAAATGCTCAACGTTTTTTTGTTTTAAAGTTTCAGTTGTGGTTTTTGTCAGCCCATACTCATGACAGCGATTTGCCTGCAATGCTCCTTTTGTAAAATCATCAAAATTTCTAGCTTTCTTGCAACAGAAATTGATTTTGGTTTCAGATGCATGGGAACTCATACTTTTGTGACATTTTTGTTTCACAGCGCAAAGCGACTTTGGTGATATTTCCATTTCGGAAGCACAGCACGAATGTATGATGCTGCATAAAAATTGTGCATACGTGTGCAGTATTCTTTTTTTAGAAAAGAAACAGTATTGTAGTTAGGATCACGGGAGTAGGTTCGTTATAGTCAAAGATTTGTAATTATGAAGGATGGTACAGCAAGGTCACAGTAGATGTGCCCATAATTAAGAAGAAACCCAATATTTTTTTCCCTGGTTTGCCTAGCACCGATGATAAAAATGTTGCAGCCCTTGTGTTGGGAATAGATAAATTTCATCTATAGAAAAGATAAAAGAATATTTTTAAGAATAGAATAATCAATGGGAATATCAGATGTGGTAATGTCCTTTTAAGCAGTTAGCTTTGTGACATGATGTTGTGGTTAGACCATAGGATTAAGAAGACTCTAAAGTAATAGATTAGAGCTATTATTAACATTATCTCTGGGAGTATGTATGGATGTGCACACATGCATATATAAAAATTACTGTTTTGTTATAGTTGTATTTTTTTTCTAACAAACTAAAGTGGAAAGTGGTCAGAATTGCATTCTGTTAGGCACCGTGGCACATGATTTCTACATCAGCATGAGTTTTTGTTGAGTATGTTCAAGAGAGTTTTTATAGCCTTATACAAAAGAAGTGTTGCTTTATAATGAAACCCAAACGGTTTGTTTATCTGATATATCTGTGGAAAATAGTATTTGCACTTTCTACAGTTGCAAGTAAATTAAAGGCTTTGCCCTAAAAAAACTTACACGTGTAATTTCATTTACTTCAACAGGATAGCTCACATGAATTTGGCTATAAGTATTTGTAGAATCAGGCCCAAAGACTAGAAAGAGGGCATGTGCGAAGCAGTTGCTAGACAACCTTCTACTTGACACATCACATAGTGGGCCCCAGCTCCATCTTGTTAAAGTTTATAACATAAAATAAAATGTTCTTCCCTTGTAAATAGATTACTTTTATTTTATAATTTTCATGGTTTGAAACTAGCAAACCATGCATTTAAACATTTAGAAGTTTGACATTTGTTGAAAATGTGTGTTACCCAAATTAAGTCTTCATACCACCTCACTGCTCGGTGTGGCCAGATGCACTTAGTAAGAACTGAAATGAATGGGGGTTATTCTCGAGAGAGATTTTTTTCTCCCCAAGGTAAGTTTGATGGAAATGTGAACTTGGTGAATTTGCATTTGCTGATAAGAGCATTCTGCAGAATGATACATGGTAAGTGATTCTGGTCACACTGGGAATGGATATAAGAACTTTAATAAGCGATCTGTATTCATGAGTGTGAATTCCTTTTTCTGGAATTTCGAGGAATAAAGACACACATTTTTCTGGGAGGGGGGGATGGGTTGTTTGCATATTCACCTTTTTAAGATCATGTCAAATGATCACACCTTAAATGTTAGTGAGTCTCCCCTTTAATAGGGTCTACTTTCCTTCTGTGACTTGGCCAATTTGGATGTACTGCCTCAAAGTCCATGGGGCAGCTCCCATGGTTTTTGTTGCTCTGTGTGTGGCATTTCTCCTCAATGAGAAAAGTAATTGATTCCCCATCAGGTTTCCTTTGAGCATTGAGGCAGGTGTGAAAAAAGGCAGCTGCTTCTCCCTTTTACCTCTCAGAAGCAGGAGCCCGCGGAGAAAACATGTGGAGGAAGTCTGAGAAGGCTGTAGAGGGAGGGCAAGAGAAGGGGAAAAAATGGAGAAAA